CTGCCAGGGATCCAGGGGCAGCCCCAGCTGCTCTGGCACAGGGACAGCACAAAAGGGGTGGGCAACTCCTCAAAATGTGTTCAAGAAATCCAGCTAAAACATCCTGGATTTAATATGGCAGAGAAAAGGAATGCACTGATACAGGGGAGGGGAGAAATCCTCCCAAGGGACCTCAGCAGAACATCCCTGTGGGATGAAAGGGACACGAGGCAACAGTGGACAGGGCAGTCAGAGAGGCAGAGGTGTCCTGGGCTGGGGAGCAAGAACTGGGAAAGGGATTGGGATTGGGGTTGGGATTGTGCCCCTCAGGTGAGAGCCCACCTGCAGAGCTGCCCCAGCCCTGTCCCAGCACAGGAGGAGCTGGAGCTGCTGCAGAGAGCCCAGAGGAGGCTCCAGGATGAGCAGAGGGATGGAGCAGCTCTGCTGGCAGGAAAGGCTGGCACAGCTGGGATTGTTCAGCTGCACAGGAGAAGCTTTGGGCTGAGCTCAGGGTGGCCTTGCAGGGCCTGAAGGAGCCCCAGGAAACCTGGAGAGAGACAATTTCCAGGGGATGCAGGGACAGCACACAGGGAATGGCTGCCAGTGCCAGAGGGCAGGGCTGGATGGGATCTGGGCAATGAGGAATTGTTCCCTGGCAGGGTGGGCAGGGGCTGGGATGGAATTCCCAGAGCAGCTGGGGCTGCCCCTGGATCCCTGGCAGTGCCCAAGGCCAGGCTGGACACTGGGGCTGGAGCAGCCTGGCACAGGGGAAGGTGTCCCTGCCATGGCAGGGTGGCACTGGGTGGGATTTGAGGTCCCTCCCTACCCAAACATTCCACGATCTGTAATTCTCCATAATTCCTCAGAAAAAGAGGAAGAACACAATAAACTGCATTTATAATCCCAGCCCCACAGCAAAGCTGAGGCTCCATGGGCAGCACAAGAGCCAGGCTGAGGTTTGTCCCCAGGAGGATCAGCAGGGACAGGGCCAGCCCAGGGCCCTCCCTGCACACAGCCCTGGGGGAGGCAGATGCCTTCAGCTGGAATTTCCCACCTGGATACATGTGCAGGACTCACTCTCTGGTTTGAACTCTCCCACCCACACAGCTCCTAGGCAGGAAACAGGCAAAGCCCTTGGCATTCCTGTCCTTCAACGCCCTTCCCAGCACGAGCCTCCTCCCCTCTCCCAAGGGCAGGCAGGAGCACTCCTCACCCTGTCCAGCAAACACAAACACATCTGCAGGAACAAACTGGAGACTCTGGAGCACAACTGGAGCTGAAAAAACCACCCCTGGCAGCTGCCAGCACTGAGAGCAAACCCACTGCTCTGTTAGGCAGACAAACACAACGGCAGCTCAACATTTGCACCTGAAAATCAGCTTTTCTCTCCCCAGATGAGCTGATTTCACCTGGACAAATACTGAAAGCAGCTGCAAGGAAATACAAGAAGTCTGCAGGAAGAAAAATGCCTTAACGTGGAATATCCTTGGGTTAGTAAAGAACAGAACTGCCTGCTTCCAAAGAGAGGAAAAGACAGAAGGAGAAAGGGAAGAAACTTAAAAGGCATGAAGAATATTCAAGTTTTCCTTGAAGAAAATGCACCTTCCACAAGCAGTTCATCAGAACATCCTTCAGGACACACATTTCCTCACATGCACAGAGGATGAAAAGTACATCAGGGGCTTGCTTATGTGAACTCTTCTGTAACAGCCACTGCCATTTTCCCATTTATTTCAGTAACTTCCAGCAGTTTCAGTTCTCCCTATCCCACAGCACTGAGCTCTGCTAATTTTTAAGTATTACAGAAAGACAAGAGCAAAGAAAGGAAGTTTTAAATTATACAAAAACAAGGCTGCGTGGCAAACTAATGAAGAAGTGATATTAATTATATTTACATTTCTTACAAAGCCCCTGGATCCCTGGCAGTGCCCAAGGCCAGGCTGGACACTGGGGCTGGAGCAGCCTGGCACAGGGGAAGGTGTCCCTGCCGTGGCAGGGTGGCACTGGGTGGCGTTTAAGGTCCCTCCAAACCAACCCAACCCATTCCATGCTTTTTCCCTAGACAGCAATGCGCTGCTCAGCCCCAAGGCTGCCCGCAGCGGGGTTCTGGAGGGGCGCTGTTCAAGCCTGAGGAGTGCAGGAGGCAGGGAATGACCCCAGCTGCATTTCCCCATGCTCCGCAGGCCGCCCCGAGCCGTGCCTGCCGTGGGACCGGCCGTGACGGGGAGCCCCGAGCCCCGCGGCCCGGCCGAGCGCGCTGCTCTTTAGACAAAACAAGGCGTTCCTCCTTTAACCTCCGCTACAGACCCCGCGCGTCCTCAGGGCCGGACAACCCGTCACACACCGGGCCGCGCCGGTGTCCCAGCGGAGCGGCCCGGGGGTCCCTCCCGGCGCGGGTCCCGCTCTCTCTCGCTCCCCATCCCGGTCCCTGTCCCGGTCCCGGTGCCGCCCCAGCCCCGGTGCCGCCCGGCCCGGCCCGGCGCGGCCGCACGTACCCGCTCCCGGGCGAGACGCTTCCGCCTGAGGGCACCGAGCGCCCTGACTGACGCGCCCTCCGGCCAATCGCAACCGAGCGCTGCGCGTCAGCCGAAGGCCGGGTGAGGACAGAGCGTTGCGATTGGTCAATGCCAGGCCACAAGCTCCGCCCCTTTCCGCTCGGGCGGGGCGGGAAGAGGCGGGGCCAGCGCGCTCCCGCCCTTCCCCGCAGGCCCCGCCCCCTCCCGCCATGGCCGCCCCTCACGGCCCCTCAGGCCCCAGAGCCGCCCCACACGGCCGTGAATGACCCCCGGCCTGCTCCGCTGCCCCACGGAACAGCACAATAGTGTCATTCCCATGCTGGAATAGATAAAGTTCACCCCTAAATGCTCTTAAACCTCAGTCCGGTGTCTGGTTTAATGAAACTAAGCGGAATTCATAAACGTGGATAAATTCTAATTCATAGGATCAATCACGGAATGGTCTGGGTTGAAAGGACAAGCAATATGGGGGTAACAAACACGGCAATAAACTCACTGTGAAACACTACCACCCAAAACAGCAAAACAAGTAAGTGACAAAAGACTGATGTTGAATAAAAGCCCTGGGCAAAGAAAAGAACTGGATCAAAGTTAGCATTTTGAGGATTAGAGGGAACATCTCACAGATGTGGACTTGAAAGAACCAGATTGTGCTCAAAGTCCCCTCTGCTTCCTTTTTTAACCTTAACTTACACGTACACACTGTGTTCATCGAGCCCAGAGACTCCCTGCTCCCTCAGAGGAGTCTGAGGGAGCTTCTTCTTCTACTAAGAATAAAGATTTATCACTTACATATTCCTTTTACAAGATGCCCTGCTCCTGCTTCTCCTTCATTCCTTCTCCTCAGAGCCTTCTCTGTATCTCTACGTTCATTCTGTTACTGCTCTGAAACAGAGAAATCCTCAACAGGACTCAACACTTACAGTGCCCAGAGAAGGGAAGAATTTCTTCTCAGTACTTTGTTTAAATCTCTCAGTTTCAAGCCATTCCCACTTGTCCTGTTGGGACAAGAAACAGATTCCTCACCCTGAGTAAAACTGATACCTCAAATATTGTATCTTCATAAAATGTAAAATTATATACCTATACAATCTTTTGTCTTCATATTAAGATGTCACTTAAGCCTTTCAAGCCACAAGGCATGTGGTCATTAGACCAACAAATAGGAAGTTCTGGGAATAAACAACGTGGTTTTGGATCTGGGGTCAGCAATGGCTGCACCCTTTTTCACAGTCATAAAATAACATTAATCAAATTCAAATTAACAGTCCAGTGTCAGCCAGAAAAATTCCTTCTGAAGGCCACTCTCTCCTGGATTTTCTGTGTGCAGTAGTTGATATTCCTTAGTATTGACTAAACACTCCTCTTAAGAGCAACAAAATTATAGACAAGCCCTGAAACGCTGAACTCCTCTACACACCTGGGGAGCATTAAAGTGGAAATTATCTTTTTCATTGTCACTGTAAATGTTGCAGAAGTGGATTTTTGTGCCTGGCAGGTTCTGATGGCATCAGTGCAAAGCTGATTTGAAGTGCCTCGGTCAGGTCACACCTGCCACATTTAAACCTGAGTGGTTTTAATAAGAACATAAAAATCCCTCAGCCTGCTGATTCACCCTTTATGGCACCTCTGGTTTTGGAACTGCTGATGCTTCTTCGTGAGCCAAAGTGGGTCCCATTTCCTGCAAAGTGGCTTCTGTTTACCCTTGTGCATAAATTTGATTTGCTCTTGAAATCTCCCACTGGATTTGTCTGAACAGCAATTTTTTTGATCTAACTCCAGAAGATCCTAACGCGGATCAAAATGTGAGGTTTTTGAGAGTACTATGTCAAAGGACCTTCAGAAAAGTCTCTTTAATTAACAGTTTTCATTATAAACAAGAATAAATTATGAAAATAAACATTCATACACAGAGCTGGAAGGTGTCCCTGCCCGTGGCAGGGGGGTGTTCACCAATAAATAAATTTCCAAGACTGCTTTCTGTGTTAAAGACGCAAAAATGGACTTGTGCACGTGTACATTCCAAGCCAAGAACCCTCCCTTCACAGCCACTGAATTTACCCTTGAAGAGGTGAATGTACTTTTAAAAAATATGCAGAGAACCTGCCAAAAATTCAAGAGTTGCAAGTATTGAAATAAGAGTGCAAAGGTCAAACAGGGCCCAGAAGACGTTTGCCTCCACTTTAATGTTATTCTTATGCCTCTGTTTCCTCTTTGAAGTGATAAGAGCCTGTAAAAATGATTACAGCCCGTGCTGAAGCGAAGCATTAATTTGGATTTCAGCAGAAGGAAAGTGACCTGCAAGGGAAGAACTGATTTGTTGCTGCTGTGGTTTAACTCAGCCAGCAGCTGCTCAGGGGTGGGGAGGTGTGAAGGGCACAAAGGTGCTGTGCAAGCCCTGCCCAGCAACAAAAACACCCTGGAATGGTCACACTGCCTCCAGCCCAAACCCAGCACGCAGCCCCAGACTAACAATGGGGGAAAGATTAACTCTACCACAACCCAAACTGGCACATTTCATTTAATAATATTTTAAAATAACTCAATTATTTATAATGCAAATGCTCACCACACAACCAAATTTCCTTCAAGTACGGTAACAGTGGGAATTTGACATTTCCAGTGAACCTGAAATTTCTCAAGTGCTAAATTCCATTCATAAAGTGCATTCAAAACCTTGACAAGAGGAATTAGTGTGAAATTATTTCGGTGTAAGCTTTAACCACTTCAAGAGAGAAGACTTCCACCCAAACCTTTTGCCCTCTTCCCCCCCGTTTTCCTTCCTGTCTGAATCAGAAACCTTTTCCACGACGGCCTCGTAATTCTTTCGCGCTCGGAGGATTTCCTTGTCGGTGCTGAAATGCACCATCTGCCTGCTCAGGATGGGCACCACCAGGTTGAAGTTGTCAACCCTCTTGTTTAACTTCCTGATGTCTTCCGCGAACTGCTCGCAGATCCGACCCCACTGCTTCTGCTCCGGCAGCGTCATCGGCTCCCCGAGCTTCCTCCTGGAGGCCACGATGCTCTTCCTCAGGCGCTCGATGGTCTCCCGGATCTCCTTCTGCAGCAGGATCCACTCGGGCTGGTAGCCGTTGTCGATGAGGATCCTGTTCAGGTTGTGGGTCATGGGGTCGATGTGGGGGCTGTGCGAGAACTTCTGCAAAGGCTTCCCTTTGCCGCTGAGGTTGTCGAAGTCTCCTTTGGCCATGGATTCCTGGATGAGGTCCTCCACCAGCCGTTCCACGGCCTGAGTTATCTTCACCTTCTTGCTCTGCCGCACGTCCTTGGCCCTGCTGAGGTCGCTGCCGGCGTAGCGGCTCTCCAGCCTCTGCTGCCGGTACTCCAGCACCTGCTCGGTGGCGCGGTCCACGCGGAACTGCATGTACTGCTTCTCCCGCTGGCTCGGCGTGCCGATGCCCACGCCCTCGAAGCTCAGGTAGTGCCTGTGCTGCAGGGACTTGGATTTGAACTGGTCTTCCTCCTCCTGGCCGGGCTCGGATTTCTGTTTGGCTGCCAGGTCGCTGAGCACAACCCTGTAGGCCTCCTCCACCCTCACGAAGGCCCTGGAATCGGCCATGCCGGAGCTGCTGTCCGGGTGGTATTTTTTGGCAAGATTGCGATAGGAGTTTCTGACGTCATCGAGGGAACAGCCTTCCTCCAGCTCCAGAATTTTGTAAGAGTCCTTGACATAGTTTTTGGGTTTGTAACCCGACAACATCCTGCAGAGAAACGGCTTCATCCTCCTTGGAACCATGGCCCCCCGTCCCATGAAACAGTGTCCCATGTTGTTACTCAGCATGACTCAAAGCCACTGCGGATTTCTTCACATGCAGCTACATTATAAAGAACCTATAGACACATTTGGGCAAAAATCATGTTAAGTATCTTTTTTAAAGAACTTCCAGGACATAAGTCTTATCTTTAGCCTGATGTATTTAGAGAAATTCCTACTAAAATTTAGCAGTATTTTTTTTCTTTTACAGACTGATATTGAAATCACAGAATCCCAGCATGATTTGGGAAGAACTTCCAGGACATAAGTCTTATCTTTAGCCTGATGTATTTAGAGAAATCCCTACTAAAATTTAGCAGTATTTTTTTTCTTTTACAGACTAATATTGAAATCACAGAATCCCAGCATGGTTTGGGCTGAAGGGACCTCAAAGCCCACCCAGTGCCACCCCTGCCATGGCAGGGACACCTTCCCCTGTGCCAGGCTGCTCCAGCCCCAGTGTCCAGCCTGGCCTTGGGCACTGCCAGGGATCCAGGGGCAGCCCCAGCTGCTCTGGGCACCCTGTGCCAGGGCCTGCCCACCCTGCCAGGGAACAACTCCTAATTCCCAATATCCCATCCATCCCTGCCCTCCCTAAGCTTAAAGTCATTAATTTACATTTCTAATTAATTAGTATAGAAGTAGTAGTATTACAATGCAAATGAAAATCAATTCACAATTTACTTTTTTCCTGGTAAGACAACAGGAACACAACACAATTGTTTTGCACTGAAGAATTCCCTGGAAGCTTTTTTTATCGCCATTATTCTTCTACTATTTATTTTATTGCCTTTCAGCAAACACTGTAAACTGGAAATAAGCTTGATGCTGAGCAAAAACTGCTGAAACAAATCCCTCCCTTCTCCTCTGTACCTACATTCAGCAACAGCTCAATTTCCTACTCCCTTGGATCAATGCCTCAAGACCTACGACCTGGTACGTTGGCAAAGGAGGTCATCACAGCACATTATTGGTGTTTCACAGCAACATCTGGATCAGCACTCAGGTTATAGATTCACGAGGTCAGCCTTTGTATCCCAGCAGCGGCCAACCTCCTTCGCTGGTGCCAGGCAGGGGGATAAATCTGGAATTCAGAATAGATCGATAGCAGTCAGTATGTCACTCTGTCAGCAATTCCAGTGATTCTGGGTTATCTGGGGACACAGCCAGGGCAACACAGGTGACAGAGTCGGCAGGTGACAAAGTCAGTCCTTATGTAAAATCAAAGTAGAAATATATAACACTAACTGGACACACCAGTTACACATCAGCCAACTCTTCTTTATTCATGGAAATCCTTAGGGAAATGCTGGATCAGTGGAGCTAAAGACACAGAGAGGGCAACATCTCCTTTGCTCACTCCATTTTCAAACAAAAAACTAGATCAAATCAACTCCTTAAGGTTAATCAAAGAATAAGCAGTGTTTACATCTTCTGCACAAACCAAACTGCCCTTCTGCCCTAACCCCGAGAAGGAAAAGCACAAGTACTTGGGGCTGGACCAATCTTCAATGTTTTCAGCTGGCTTTGGTCCATGTAAGGCATTAAGTCATCACCTTGTGATAATGGAGCTCATTAGCACCTTTTATTTATGATCCAGTGATTTCATTCCATCTGGGTGGCGGACAAAGATAACTACTAATTTTCATACGGCCATAAAACCCCACGTAACTACTACTTAAAGAGAATGATCAATAAACACTCTTTTAAAATTCAATTATCGCTCCGTAAGTGACTTTCTCATAACTCGGCAGCCCCGATTTCAATAAACCTGTTCTTGTATGCAGAAAGAACCCTCACCCCCCGAGGGGACCAGCTGGGAACGGAGGGTTATTCCCCGGCAGAGTGAACCGAGCGATCCCCGCTGGGATTTGGGAAGAGGGGACGGATTGGGGCCCCAAGAACCATTCCCGCTCCCGCCCTCCCTGCTCCGTAGGGTCCCGCAGCTGCGACCCCGGCCCGCCGCCGCCTCACCTGGTAACTACTAATTTTCATACGGCCATAAAACCCCACGTAACTACTACTTAAAAGAGAATGATCAATAAACACTCTTTTAAAATTCAATTATCGCTCCGTAAGTGACTTTCTCATAACTCGGCAGCCCCGATTTCAATAAACCTGTTCTTGTATGCAGAAAGAACCCTCACCCCCCGAGGGGACCAGCTGGGAACGGAGGGTTATTCCCCGGCAGAGTGAACCGAGCGATCCCCGCTGGGATTTGGGAAGAGGGGACGGATTGGGGCCCCAAGAACCATTCCCGCTCCCTCTACGGAGCCCTCCCTGCTCCGTAGGGTCCCGCAGCTGCGACCCCGGCCCGCCGCCGCCTCACCTGGTGCCGCCGGGCGGCCCGCGGGAACGGGCCGGTAACGGCCCCGCAGGAAGAGGAGGGGCCGGCGGGAAGAGGAGGGGACAGGCCGGGCTGTGACCCCGCGCTCAAGGACAGAGAGGGGAGAAGGAACGGGGAGGGACGGGAAGAAAGGGGGCAAGACGAGAGGGTCGGGGAATGGGGAGTGAGAGAGACAGGGGAGAAGGGCGGGGAGAGAGATGGGGAAAAGTGGAGAAGGAAGGTGGGAGAGGGTCCTGCGTGTCTCCGCTCTCCGCCAGGGGGCGCCCGAGCGGCGCCGCGGCCGTGAGGGGAGGGAGCCGTGAGGGGAGATGGGCAATGGGGGGGTGTGAGGGGAGAAGTGCCACGGTGGAACTGTGAGGGGAGATGTGCCATGGTGGGGCCGTGAGGGGAGATGTGCCATGGTGGGGTGTGAGGGGAGATGTGCCATGGTGGGGTGTAGGACATGTCTCACCTCTGCCAAACTGAACAAATTGCTGCAAAGAGAGGGCTAATACCCAGCAGTTTCTGGTCCAAAATAACTGTTCATCCCATTGCAACTCAACAAGGTTTTCCTTCCTGTGTGTGAGCTCAGGGGCTGGCAAAAGTCAGGCTGGTCTGCAGGTAGAGCTGCCCCTGTTCATTTTTCCACCAGGAAAACGTTTCATGAAATCAGGAGGGCACAAAGGGGTTGTTGTTCCTGTGCTGCCCTTGGCTTATCCCTGTTCCAGAACACTGCTGTGTGCACCTTCCTGCTGGAGGTGTGTGTCTTCAATGTCCCAGTGGGAAGAGAACAAATAATAGGAAGATGAACTAAAGAAACAGCAGTGCTCAGGACAGTGACACTGAGCTCTCCCCAGGGGATAACAAGAGTGCCTTGGAGCTGTCCAAAGGGAAAATGCCACCGAGCTCTCCCCAGGGGCCAAGCAGAGTGACCAGCAGGCATCCCAGGGCCAAGACTACCACAGGGAAGAGCTGTCCCAAGGGGTCAGTGACAGTGACGAGGAGCTGTCCCAACAGGATAACAGCAGCAACAACAAGCTTTGCTAAGAAGAAGGCAAATATGACAAAGAGCTGTCTTTGGGGAAGGCTGTAATGTCCAAGACATGTCCCCATGGGAAGCAGATGAGGACAAAGGGCTGTCCCCATGGGAAGCAGATGAGGACACAGCTCTGCCGAGGGGCACAGGGCAGTTCCAGGGAACTGTCCCAAAGGAGGCAAACAGCGCCCAGGGAGCTGCTGCCTGTCTGGAGGAAGCAGCTCCCTGGATCCATCTGTGCTGGAGGACAACAAAAATTATTGAGAAGATGAACAAGGAGAAGGGGACCCCCAATTCTCCTTTCTTTTCCACACCAAAGGAATTCCCATTTCCTGCGATGGGAAATGGAATTGTTCATGGTGGAGCTGCCCTGCAGGGCTCCAGCCCAGAGGAGAGGCCTGGGGGACATCAGGTGTGCTCCCAGCTGCAGCTTGGCACTTCAGAGCTGTGCCAGGAGGGGAACATTGGAGAGAAAACCGATGATCCAGAAGCACACTTGATCTGTCTCCCCTCACTCACTGCACTTGGGGGAAGTCCTGCATAAATGATGCAGGGCAGGCCTAGGAAATCAGGAGGAACTCTGATTTGACTCCTTGTGTGCTGCCATGCAGCCTGGGAAAGGAGAGGTGCTTTTGTGCACGGCTGAAGCGTGTGAGTCCTCCGGGAGCTCCACAGCCATTGGGAAGCCTTGCAGCCAGCTGTTGGTGTTTTCCCTGATGCTGCTCAGGTTTGCTTCAATGGTTCCACAAGAAAAGAGAGCACGGGAAACAAATTGAAAAGTTTAAAAATATGAGAACACCAAGTGACAAAACTGTGTAAGTATTCTATAGCATAGTTTTAATTTTCTTAATTATTTTGTCAGTAGAGGTGTTGCTCCTAACTACTTTATGCCTTTTGAGCCCCATGTACAACAGACGAGTGCCATTGAAAGTAGTTTTCTCTCCCTAATAGCGTAGAACACTCGTTTCGCCCATCTGCGCTAGAGAACTACGGAAATTACTGAGAAAATGAACAAGGAGAAGGGGAACACCAACTCCCAGCCCACCCAAGGCCAACTGTTGAGCCCGCAGAGGAGGATGAGAGTGAGGGATGAGGCAGAAAGGAGAGGCCAGTGCAGGGTCAGGGCCAGGACCTTTGCCCTGCCAAGGGAGCCGTCTCCATCTCACTCATCCTCATCCTCCTACTGCTCCTTGCTGATGCCCATCAAGCTGCCACCAGTGCACCTTGGGCAGCCAGAGGCAGGACCTAGGAAGCCCAAACACCTCAAGGTCCCCCAGGCGCAGCTCAGGCAGCCAGAGGCAGTGCCACAGGACAGCTGCAGCCAGGCCCTGTCCCTCTGTGGGGACAGACTGCCACCTCTGCCACAGCTGCCATGGTTGACACCACTGCCCTGCCTTGTGAGCCCCAGGGGGGCTCAGAGCCGGGGCACAGAGCTGGGGAGCTCAGGGGAGAAGGGGCCCCAGCCCTGCAGCCCCTGTCCTTGGCAGCCATACACCCCCGTGCCCAGGGTGTTCTTGCCCCCGCTCAGGGTGGCCCAGGAGGGCACAGCCCCTGTGTCGCCTGCTCCCAGCCACTTGCTGTCTGCTGCACTGATGGTGGGGTGCCGGGGGTGGCCCTTTGTGACACAGGCACACGGTGTCGGGGCCCTTTGTGATGTGGGACGTGGTGGTGGCCAGAGAGCCTTGTGACATCAGGGAGCCCCTCCCTGGCTGAGGGTGTCTAAGGGGCGCAGAGCCCTGGGGTGCCCAGTCCCAGGAGAGCCGCTCTCTGAGGAGGAAGCAGCTCCCTGCGCCCATCTGCGCTAGAGAACTATGGAAATTACTGAGAAAATGAACAAGGAGAAGGGGAACACCAACTCCCAGCCCACCCAAGGCCAACTGTTGAGCCCGCAGAGGAGGATGAGAGTGAGGGATGAGGCAGAAAGGAGAGGCCAGTGCAGGGTCAGGGCCAGGACCTTTGCCCTGCCAAGGGAGCTGTCTCCATCTCACACCTCCTCATCCTCATCCTCCTACTGCTCCTTGCTGATGCCCATCAAGCTGCCACCAGTGCACCTTGGGCAGCCAGAGGCAGGACCTAGGAAGCCCAAACACCTCAAGGTCCCCCAGGCGCAGCTCAGGCAGCCAGAGGCAGTGCCACAGGACAGCTGCAGCCAGGCCCTGTCCCTCTGTGGGGACAGACTGCCACCTCTGCCACAGCTGCCATGGTTGACACCACTGCCCTGCCTTGTGAGCCCCAGGGGGGCTCAGAGCCGGGGCACAGAGCTGGGGAGCTCAGGGGAGAAGGGGCCCCAGCCCTGCAGCCCCTGTCCTTGGCAGCCATACACCCCCGTGCCCAGGGTGTTCTTGCCCCCGCTCAGGGTGGCCCAGGAGGGCACAGCCCCTGTGTCGCCGAGCTGGCAGCTGCTGCCTGTGCTGCCCATCCCCTCGGGGGCTCGAGCCATGGAGCGCAACCTCACAGGCACGGTGCTGGAGAGACAGAATAATGGCAACGAGCTGTCCCAAGGGGAAAATGGCAGTGATGAGGAGCTGTCCCAAAAGAGAGAATACATGGAGCCCTTTCAAGGGGACAGCAAGAGTGACCAGGAGCTATCCCCAGTGGAAGATGACAGTGAGCTCTTTCCAGTGGACAGCACAAGTGACCAGGAGCTGTCCAAAGTTGAAGGGGACATTGAGGTTATTCCAGGGGACAGCACAAGTGACGAGGAGGTGTCCTCAGTGGAAGAGGCCATAGTGGTCATTTCAGGGGATGGCCCAGCTGATGAGGAGCTGTCCAAAGTGGAAGAAGTAATTGAGGTTGATCCAGAAGACAGCACAAGTGACCGTGAGCTGTCCAGACTGGAAGAGGCCATCAAGCTCTTCCCAGGGGAAAACAGCAGTGACGAGAAACTGTCCCCAGTGGAAGATGACAATGAGCTCTCCCGAGGGGACAGCAAGAGTTACAAGGAGCTGTCCCTGGGTGAAGAAAAGCATGAAAAAGAGCTGTCCCAAGGGGTTAACTACGAGGATGAGAAGCTTTCTCCAGCAGATGTCAAACATGAGACAGAGCTGTGGTTTGGGGAAGGCTATGATGTTCAAGACATGTCCCCATGGGGAGATTATGACAATGAGCAGCTCTTCCATTGGGAAGAACATGAGGATGAAGATCTCTGCAACTGGGAACAAGATGAGGATGAAGAGCTCTCCTGTTGGGAAGAACATGAGGATGAAGAGCTCTGCAACTGGGAACAAGATGAGGATGAAGAGCTCTCCCATTGGGAAGGACATGAGCACAAAGAGCTGTCAAGGAGGGCCCTGCTCGGTGGTATGGACAGAGATTCAAGCTTGTCACCTGAACTGCCAGAACTGGAGAAAGTATCAAGGCATCAGATGGTGCTGGAATGGCTGGAAGTCAATTTCCCCAACAATTATGGTGCTGAGGAGGAGGAAGAGAACGAAGCTGACAGACACCAAAGACTGTCCCATCTGAAAAGGTGCAAGGAGAAGGTGGAGGCCCAATGGCAAGAGCTGTTGGACTCCATGTCATCTCTTGATTTCAATGTCAGTGACAATGTGCTTTCCAGAGGAGTCACAGTGGTGTCTCAAGGGGACAAAGCCATCCAGAACAACACCTGGAACAAACCCTTGGGCTTGGTGGATGACAAGGACCCCCTGGAGGGACCCAGCTGTTCCAGGCGTGTGGGCACAGAGGTGGCAGCAAAGTCAGCCTGTGCTGACGAGCCCAGCAGCCCTCCTGCCCTGTGGAGTCCCGCAGGTGCTAAGCGGGCAGCTGCTGAGGAGGAGGAGCCCCCCAAGCCTCTCGGTCCAGAGGTGACAGAGGCACAGAGCCAGGTCTCTGAGAAACGTCCCTCCCGCTTCAGGCAGGCGCTGCGGGGGCTGTTCCGGTGTCCCACTCTGGGGTTGGGGCTGTTCTGGTGTCCCTGCCTGGTGGCACAGCCGGAGGAGTAGCGCCCACACCAGCACCAGGCCAGGCCTGGAGGTGGAAGCAGAGCAGCACTTGGGTGGGACAGACCAAGGTGGGCTGTGGTTCCTGGGGATCAGCGCAACCCAGCGCTGTGAGCACAGGGCTTGGCCAAGAGGTGGCCATGGACCAAGAGCACCAAAGACCCCCAAAGCTGCCGACCTGTTTCCAGAA